CGCTTCTTGATGGACGCGTCGCTCAAGTGTTTGGTCGAATCGAAAGAGACCTGCAGGGATAAAGCGGGGCAGGATAGAAGGACCCCAAAGCGCTCCTGAGAGGGGGCCCCCAGATTCATTTCAGAGAACGGGCTCCCGGGACACCCTCCCCCCGAGGGGCCAGCATCACACTCAGCGGCCAGGCCGGAACCCCTCCCAGCAAGCCCCCCCGTCAAGCAGGGGTGCAGACGCTCCCTGAGGCACAACTCGCCTTCACTGCCAAAACAAAGTCTCCCGTTTTCCAAGACAGCTTTCCCCCTCCCGCTATGGTGGGGGGCACCGTTCCCTCTGGCCAGCTGCCACCCCGCCTGTGACTTCACAGCTACAAAAGCCCCGGCTCCTCCGAGCGAGGCTGGGTGCCTTGTTGCTGTGAAACCACCACACGTCAGAGCCTGGACTGACGAAAGAAACATCCACTCCTTCCCAGACGCGTTTGGGAGGCCCGGTTCTGCTGGCCGAGCCCGCCTGGCGTGCCCTTCAGGGCACCCCAACCGTCACCACCTTAACCGTCACGAAGTCCGGCTCCCCCCGTTTCCCAAGACAGAGCTTGTAAAAGGGGAGTGGCGGCCGCCTGCTTTTCTGTCTGTGCGTGTGGAACTCCACGGGCCGGGTCTGCTGCGGGGATTGCATCCGGGGGACCACCACCTCCCCACCCCAGGGTGGGGGGCCGGGGCGCGGGGCTGGGTGCGCCGGGCCTCACCTTGATGTTGCAGGCCACGGCCTTGCCGTCCTCACCCTTGTACATGAGCTTCATGCCGCGCAGGGCGCTCATGGCCTGGATGAAGCCCACGTACTCGCGGTACTGGACGTAGGCCTCGAAGTTCAGGTGCCCCCCGAAGCTGAAGGTGTGGAAGTTGCGGCCGGTCATCTCCTCGCGGTAGGGGTCCAGCATGGGGATGTCCACGTTGCGGATCTCCCCGAACCGCTCGAACACCTTGACCAGCACCTCCTCGCTGGGCTTCTCGGAGCCCGACTCCTTCAGGGCGAACCACTTGCAGGGCAGCCCCTCCAGGTGGATGGTGTCCGGCCGCTCCCCAGGCAGCGTCTCGTTCATGTCCTTGGCGTCGCGGAAGAAGGAGTCCCAGTCATGGCGGGTGGGGAAGTCGATCTTGAACTCGGCGGCGCGCACCTTGAGGATGTCGGAGAAGCCGCTCAGCTTGATGGTCTTGCCGTCCAGGCAGGCCAGGAAGGACTTCACCAGGCTCTTGTTCTCCACCTCGCCCTCGAAGCGGATGAAGTCCATGGTGCTCTTGGAGATGCGCAGCGTGGAGAACTGGTGGTTGTGCACCATGCCCTTGAGCCGCTCCATCACCTCCCAGTTGGAGATGGACTTGCCCGGCTGCTTCAGCTGCGGGAGCGCCACGCTGATGGTCATCTTCGTGATGGGCTTCAGGTACAGGCCGTAGGAAGGGCACAGCTCCACCGCCTCAGACGTGTCGTGGACGATGGTAGCCGCGGCCATAGCCGGGACCTTGGGCCTGAAACAGACAAACACAGACACCCACAGCCGTCAGAGCCACCCCAAGACCGGCTGGGGAGAGGCGGCCCCGGGCTGGCTGGCACTCTGGACCCAGAGAAGGGAAGCCAGTCTCCTTCTCTGCCAGGTCAGAGGCATTGGTCTCTACTTCACGAACGGCCCTCATACCCTGAGATGTCAGTGCTTTTGTCAGATTACAGTAAAGTGGGGGAAAAAAACAACTAGACTGACAAAATCTTTTAGGAACGGCTGACTGCCCAAGCCCTACTCCCAACAGTAGAGGCAGCTCTCCCAGGGCCCGGGGAGCAGGGAGCTCCCTGCCCTCGGTGTACCAGGCACGGGCCAGCTCCACTGGCAACCTCCACCAGAAGGTGCAGACAACCTGCTGGGGAAGGGACGGCCCAGAACACGCTTCTGGGACGGTCTGTGGGGGAGGAGGAGCCCTTGTGTTTCCCCTGAAGAAACAGGAAGTTTCAGGCTGAGAAAACAGCCAAGGACCATCCACTTTAACATCCTCGCTGTGGGCAGACACATCCTCTTGTTGCCCAGATTATCCAGAAAAAGGGAGAGGGCCCTTCCGAAGCCGGGGGCTGGGAGCAGTCCGCACCTCATTCCTCAACCGCGTCTTCCTTACTGGCCTGACAAGTGGCTACTTCCGGAAAGCCAGGCCCCAGCGATGAGCCCAGGGAAACGCAAACGATACAAGTGGTGGCCTCGGCTATCTGTCCGCCCACCAGCGAGCTCTCAGAGGCTGCCTACCCAGCTCGGGGAGGAGCCCCAAGGTGGTGGGAGCGTGGGGGGCGGGCCCCAGGTGGTGGGAAGAGCCACCTGGGCAGGTCTGGGGCACTGGGCAGCCAGGAGAGGAGCTCTGCCCTGGGCTGAGACCAGAAGCCTCCCCCAGGACCCTGAGGTCCACGGGGGTGCTTGAGCCAGAAACCTGGCACCCCCGCTGCCTGCCAGGAACCCCGGCTGCCCTGGTCACCTGGCTGCCCCTGTACCGGGGGCAT